CCCCCCCCCCACCCCGATATTGGTCCAACTAACAAAAGATATTGCCGACATTGGTAACTAAATACAGATTACATAAATTATCGAATAATCTACCAACTAATCTGACATAAGGCTGTGCGATAAAACGATAACAATAATTATTGCTATATAAATTTCCTTGATACCAGTATGATGAATGCTCCATAAAAGTTCAAGATGACTTTAAACCAAACGTCGCTGGCATCACACTTTGCATCACAAATGATGTCGCTTTCTCTGTGGCTACTTGTCAGAACTGGTAATGGAGCAAAAGTGGAAACGCATCCACGAAAACAAAAATGGGGGATTTATTGAACGAATAAGAGAATGCAATAGGGCTGGCAGGTGGATGACAGACAAAATCATCAAAACAACAGGGTAAGTCCAAAGCAGCACGTTCAGTAAAGGTAATCCAGCAAGATCCAAAAGGAAAGTCCACAATAAAATTCAGTCCATGAGAAATCCCAACAGGAATTAAGAAACAAGTATTCCAGCAGCAGCGTTTTTTGGTGCTTACTAAATATAACCTGTTCAACTTCAATCTCAGACTTGTGAAATGCTGTTTGGTAGTGACGGCCAAAACAATGCTACATGAACCATTTGCAATATTTTTTTGACCTCACGTGGCACTTTTTTTTCACTTCAGTTTGGCAAGTGTTTGTCACATTCAAACAAAGAATAATTGAACTACAATTCACCATCTGGCTTCTTCAACTTTTAACTCGGGAGTAAAAATCAGCCTTTAAACTGGAAAGAAATAATTTGACATTCATTGTGATAAGTGCTGTCCCAAACTATTCTTTAAACGATTAATCTGCCAATTATTTTTACGACTATTCAACTAATCTAACAACAAATTTTTTGATTTGATCTGATGATAAATTTATTGATAAGCAATTCATTTCAAGTTAGTCATTTGACACACTGGCTGCCGCGGTTAGTTGACAGTCGATAACATCGATGCTGAAAATGCATTGACATCAATATTTTAAATTGACGCATTGTTTTTAAAAATTATTTTAATGAAATTATGATTTCTAAAACGCTTCAGTTCATTATAGCAAATGTGTTCCTTTAATATCACTATAATTATGGGAATAGTTCAAATTGTCACAAAACAAAAAGGTAGTTTTGTACTGTGCAAAGTTCGATGGCATACCACAGGGGCACTAGCGCTATGCACGAGCGCCTGAAGAGAACGCACATGCGCTATTCTGGATGATGGACCACCACAGTAGGCAAAACCACCGTAAGTGTTGTCTGTTCATGTTTATTAAGTTAGTTAGCACAGAGAGCTTTTTAATATCCTTGTAGCTACTCAATAATCATTATACACTCAATATTTAAAGCTATAAAGTTGTATGCCTGCTACCTTAGAATATCCATTGAATAAGTGTTTGAGAAAATGTTTAGGCTAAAATCTGGGCTTATTGTACGTGGATTGATGGTGCCAGTTTGTCTTTGTGCGCATTGGGCTTATTGAGAATTGGGATCAGTGTTATTGTACTGTAAACTAAAACTGAAATGAAAAACAATGAAAATAAAAGGAAAAAAAAATTCTTGGACTGAAAAAAGGAAGCTATGTTTTGAAAAAGTGTTGGACTTTAATCGGCAAAAAGTTGTGCCTCACCCCCAATTTTTTTTTACCTTGTTTATCCACAATATCTCCTCCTTTAAAAGTTGTTGCTAAATCTAGGTTCACCGCCAGTCCTCATCGGCTCCCTGATTTACTAAAACGGTAGCATGGGGTGCTTCACTAACAGAGTTTAATAACCATAAGGATACGTGAAATTTTTACTGATTACTGACTTCTGGGCATCCCAATCTGCATGTCATTAATATTTTAGGCATACTACTAATTTGTTTAAAGCCCTACAATAACAGTTTGTTAAAAAAATTAAACTATTTGATTTTCTGGAGGAAAATGGATTATTT